GATAGATAGATAGATAGATAGATAGATAGATAGATAGATAGATAGATAGATAGGATAGACAGAGAACATTCTATCTGGTAATTATTACTGATATGAAAACTATAATTTTGTATTGATCCTCATGTTACTTCTCTTGTCAAGTTGCTACTGTTCTAATTTTCAATGATTTAATATAACCACATCATCTTCAAATAATAAAATGCATCTCATTTTAGAGGTATTTCTGTCTTTCCTTTGTACCGTGTGTGATTCCATAGGTAACATTCAAAAACTGCATAAAGATAAGTAACATGAAAAACATTTGCAACCAAAACTCAAGAACATGGTTGCCTCTGAAAGGTAAAAAATGAGAGATTTGAGAGGATCACAAAAGCGACTGAAAATGACACCATTTTCCTGTTCTTGGAATAGTGGGGAGAGTGAGTGTCTGGATCGGGTCACAACTGTATAGTTTATATACATTCTAAAAGTGTTATTTTACATCTACTCAATATTTTTTTAAAAAAATTAGAAAGAAAACTAAGTAGTATTATATGTGTAAGCAATAGATAATATCTAATCAATCTACTTGAGAGCAACTGAGAGAGAGAAACCTCCCTCAAAATATCAAAATGAGTTTTGTTCTAGGGCACCAGCTGTTCCTATGTCATTGGTAATTGGCTTTCTCTCTCTCTTTTTTCCTTTTATTCATCCATATACTGTATTGGAAAAAGAACCGTGATAAATAGAATTTTTATCCTACCCACCCCTCATCCCACTGCTTACCACATGCTAAGCAAATGCTCTACTGCTGAGCTACACGCCCAGCCCAAGAATTCAATGCCTTCTGTTGCTTGAATGGGATCGTTTTAGCCAATATTGATTTGAGGAAAGTGCTGGCAGCTTGCTAGTCACTCTTTTTTTCAATGTTTCTTTTTCCACTTCAGTCTTGATGCTCAGCCCAGATTGGCCTTGAACTCTTGGTGGATCTGTTTTTGATACCTATGTGCTGAATTTATTGGCAGGCGCCATCTTGCCCAGCCCCTCACAGCTTATTAATCAACATGTTTTCCTTTCCAAATAACTTTCTAGTCACTTTCTTCTGCTTCATCCTCACGTACTTCCCTGTTTCAGCATCAACAATTCTGCATTATTAAAATGCCTCTCAGTCAGATTCAAAGCCTCCTTTCTTCTTACCTCTACTGCCACCAGGTGAGCTTGGAGAAAAGAAAGCCTCTCATGCCAGCGACTGGTTTGGATTCTCCAGTGGCATCCTATGACTTCACAGGTAAGATCCACTCTTGAATAACCTTCAAGGCACCTGGGGCTTTGGCCGGTCTCGTTTCCAGTCCCTTTTCATGTGTCTCTGAAGTTCTTGGTTGGCTTGTTTACTTCTGTACCCGATTCATTCTGCATCTGTGAAGTTCCTCTTTCTCATTTGCCCTTCAAGGCTCAACTTAAGCTTCACCTCCTCCCAGATGGACAGGGTACTTCTCTGTGCAAATTATAGATGTCTATATCATTGCCTTGGTCTCCCCATTTCATACCTGTTTATTTGCTAGGAAATTTTTAGAGACTGTATGCATTTATCCTCTTGGGCTTTTTAGAATCTAATCTAAGTCTGGAGGTGCTCATGAATGATGTAAGTTCATCAGGTGTGAACACATGGTCTCTACCACAAAATACATCATACCACAGATATAAAGACAGAAAAGATACAGGCACACGGAAACGGAAGTGGTGAGGTTGGCTAACAGCAGTCCAGAAACACTGATACTTAAAAAGCAGGAACTTAGTACTGCCTAAGCAGAAATAAATGCTTTATTCAGGAGGAAGTAAATTCTGGACCACAGAAGTGAGCTCTGTTCACAGAAGAGACAGATTATTAAGCCACTCTGTATCTCCTGTAGCCTTTCCACGGGGTCATCCACTTATTTATGTTCCAAGGCAATGACGGTGGGTGGGACTATTTAAATTATCTCTACAATCAAAAGGACCAAGCTAAAATGAATTTAACTGACTTATTCAGCTTTTGTGAGTCTAGAATCGGGGAACGTCCCGTTCTATAACACCAAATGAGTATGTGGGTAAACGGAGCAGACAGAAGGGCTGAGGACAGCAGAGACAGAGTAAGAATGGGACTAGTCACTGCATATTCACTTCTAGATCTCTTGGCATATCAGACTTGATGGCACAGAACTTCAGTATGAGTTGACTCCATTTTGGTTTGGTCTGATGTGCCTTTCATACTAGGTCAGTCCAAACCAGTGGCTTCCTATACATTATACTTAATGGTAATAGCCTTGACCCAGGGTTTGAGGAGCAGGAAAGTGTATAGGTACAGAAGACAGGAGTTCTCCTAAGCAAGAGTAATCAGCCCCTGGAAAAGCATCTTTGAATGTTGACTAATAAGCTGGCCTTGTGGCTTACAGTTGAATATCACCCAGTCTCTTTGGAACATAAATAGAGCAATGGGGTAGGGTTTCTAGATCTGCTAAGCAACTGTGCTGATTTTACTTAAAATTTATCCTTGCTCTTGTAAACTCCATCTAGCCCTCAGTCTGTCTTTCTGCCACCTCAGCTGTAAGAACACTCTGATACAGTCCAAATAATATTCTTTTATTTAAAAAGGAATATCCCCACATCATGGACCCTTCCATTGCAACTCAGCAAAGATGTGTATCACCTGTCATAATCCAGCGCTGTGATGGCAGGTGGTGGCTGACACAGATGATGTTCCACTTGCCTGTAATGGAACTCAAAAGCTGTGACCTCATCACGCAAAGTGGTCCACAGGCCCCTAGTGTCTATTTCACTCAGGATGTGTGGCATATGCAGAATCACAGATGACTGGCTTGAAATCCACATTTGACCAAGCTCTCCAATCGATTCAGGTGTATTATAAATTTGAAAAGTATTGGTTGATATTTAACTAAATTAGTCTAGATTTAGATTTTCTGTTGCTGGTATAGTCAGAACATATAACTGTGACTAACTCTGATGGGCGGACTCAAGATGATCCTTACAAAGCATTTGACATTTGTTTTGAAGTTGGAGTTGAATACATGGGCATCTGGTAAGTGGGGAGCAGTTAGGGTGGGGGGTTTCTGGTGGCAAGAGTTGTTGGGAGTGGTGCAGGGGCAACAGGTCACATTGGCAGAATAGGACAAACATCTTTCAAGAGCTCCCAAATCACTCTCTGGCATAGATAGCTTTGCCCAACCTGCCCATATATCATTGGCACTGACCTATGTGATAAGTCACTCCAGACCCCTGTCACCTGACTTCCTCTCTTGTTTCCCACTAGTGTGTGGACAAGGAGAAACCTCCCAGCTCCTCACCCTCAGTGACCCCTCGGGGATAAGGGGCTAATGTTTACAATCAGTTAAGGGTACCAAGTCTCAGATCTCATGCCAAGCCATCTGGTCTCTGGCAGCAACTCTAAAGATGTGGTAAGATGTGGGTGCAGGGCAAATGGATGGAGCTAGAAAATATCATATTGAGTGAGGTAACCCAGACCCAGAAAGACAATTATCACATGTACTCGCTCATAAGTGGTTTTTAAACATAAAACAAAGAAAAACAGCCTACAGATCACAATCCCAGAGAACCTAGACAACAATGAGGACTCTAAGAGAGACATACATGAATCTAATCTACAAGGGAAAAGATCTCCTGAGTAAATTGGGAGCATGGGGATCATGGGAGAGGGTTAAAGAGGAGGGGAGAGGCAAGGAGGGGAGCAGAGAAAATGTATAGCTCAATAAAATCAATTTAAAAAAGAAGTTTAAAAAAAAGATGTGTGGACAGGATCCACGTGAATTCCAGGCAATCCAAACAGGTATGAGGAGAAGATCATAAGGGAAGATGACTCTAGAGAAAGTGGAAAAATAGTGAAAAACTATGGGAAAGGAATGCTTGCCTGGGCTTTTGTGTCCTTCCAGGCCCGAGAACCTAGAGTTCTGGTATCATCTAGACAATTTTGGAACAGTCTCTTTTTCAAAGTACTTATATTTCCTTTGAGTTCATTTTCCAGTATTAGAATCAAAACATTCTTCTCGAGAACACGATCTCCATTCACATCACAGGGGCAGTGTTTACACTGGGTGTCCATCATGGTTGTCTTTGGGGGAAAAGTCTATTGGACAATGATATGTTTGGTATTAACTATCTTGTGAGCAAATCCATCACTTTTCTTCATAAAATTAAAAAAAAACATCTACCGTCTTGTTCAGAAAGTATGTCCTGGCCGAGTGTCCCGATGCATGTTTTTTGGAGAATCTGATACTTATTAGTAAAGAAGCAATGAAAAGTTCCGCAATAAAGTGTTTTATTAATTTTAACGTTTTGCAAAGCTAAACACTTTATAGGAAGTAGTTTATTTGTTCCACACAAATCTATGAGATAACTCATTTTGGATGATTCGAGCTATAAATAATAGGAAGCCCTGATTTCACTGGCTGGAAGATTTTCTTTTTTTAAAACAGGGTCCCTCTATATAGCCCTGGTTGTCCTGGAACTTGGCTTTGATTGGCCTCAACTCAGAGATCCACCTGGTTTTAACCTCTTGGGGGATTAAAGGTATGTACCACACAGCCCTGAGAGAAATTTAAAAAAATACCCAAACATTTACTTTAATCTAACAAGAATACTGGAGGGAACATAACTCTGGAGCTGGTTAATCAGATGGAAGAAGCGAATAGGATCCAAGGTATTTCTAGTTTTTCTCTCAGTCATTGGTACTGGCTTCGGTCCTCAGGTCGGCAGGCATCATCAGAGTTTCAAGATGGCCACCACATTTCTAGATATCACATCTCATAGCTTTATTTCAGGTATGTTAAGCTGTCTCTATATAGACGCACATTTCTTCATGTTCCTCATATATGACAGGGGAAGGCCCTTTAGCAAACTACCATTTATCTGACAGCATCTTCCTTTACACCTGTCCCTGAATTCATCACCAGCAAGGGAAATCTCATGGCTGACCGGGTGAGGCCCCTCCTTACCATGATTTGTAGGGTCATCATAGTGCTAAATAAATGGTAATTATTTTGAATGAACTAAAGTTAAAATTAAGATCTTGCACAGTATAACACAATTTTCAAGGTGTTGGCATGGATCTTGTCAAGTCTGATCTTTGTAACAACTCCATTGAGTGAAGGATGCTCCCTCTCTGTAACAGCTGAGGAAACTGAGTCTGAGCCAGAGTGTCAGAGGCTTTCCCTGTTCAGACTGCTGCCTTTCTTGACTGGAGAGGTTCTTTTCCATCGTGAGCATATGCCAGCTGACCCTCCTTGTGGATGGGTTCTGTTGTGGGGTGAGCTGTATATTCATATACTGAAGTCTCCGGCACCACAGAAGATAATCTTATTTGAAAAACAAAAAGACTATTGCAGATGGGATTGTCTAAGTTGAGATCCTACCGGGGGAGGGTGGGCCCTGATCCAATATAATGGGTATCCTTATTAAAAGAGAAGATTTGGCCATTCATCCAGGACCAGTACACAAACAATCCGGGTAATTTTCTGTAGCCCTCAGGGATGGGTGTGTTGATGCCTTGCTCTCTTGATCTTTGCTTCTAGAACTAACAGTAACTTCCTGTTGTTTAGGTCATTCTGTCTTTCGTACTTTGTTACAGCAGCCCTAGCAAACTCAGAGGTCAGAGTTATGTAGCTGATCAGGAATCCACAGCAGCTGAGGATGTTTTGTTTGGGAGCTTCCTCTGTTTCCTCAAGGCACCCCAAAATCTCACTGATTAGATTTTTTTATAGCGTCAGATTTTACATCAATATCTTGGTTGGGATTTTTGCGCTGCCTAAACTGGAATAGCATGAATTTGGAGAAGTTCCGGATTCTCACAGAAGCCTGCTTTGTTTGTTTCTTGCTTCCCCTTCTTTGATCTTGTTGTGTTTCCATGGATGACTTTGAACTTCTGGTCCTCCTGCCTCCACCTCCACAATGCTGGAATTATAGGTGTGTGTCGCTGTGCCAGATTGTTTGTGGTGCTGGGGATGGAACCTAGGGCTTCATGCATACTGAGTAAGCAAGCTCCCAACTGAGCCACATGCCCCATCTCTTGTTTTATTTTCTATCTTGAACTAGCAGAGATCAGCTTCCTTGTCTTTTGTGAGGACGTGGGTTTGTTCAGTCTCTCTCATGCTGATAAGCCCATACTTCTAAGCGTCCAAATCCAGCCTTTGTGTCCCCATTCACTGAGACGCTACCTCCTACAGACCAGCATTAAATTCCCATATGTGGGTCCATTCCCACCTGCTTTGCCTCAGAATCAACCCATGAGATTGACATCTAATTATTAGAAGTATTTAATATTTTATCACCCAGGGATTGGGGCTTTCTTTTGATTTTTGACTAAAACCTAATTTTCCTACTGTTTCTTATTTTTTTTCAATCTACCATGTCTTTTCCTGAAGGAGTGAGAGGTGGTAGGTTAGATCAGTCAGCACAGGTCCTTGGAATGGGACTTAAAGAGGGTCTTGTTTTCTAGGGGGAATGGAGGTGATGGGTTGGGTGAGCTTCACATTTATATGGGTCTCTTCTTTCTCAGGGCAGGGCCTGTGGGTGCTTCACCATCTGGAAGGAGCTGCTTTGGGGGCAGAAATCTCTCCCACACTTCCATCACAGGCCGGCAGTACTCAGGGAGTCGTGGAACATTGATGCCAGCAACTGAGTTCCAGGTCACCTAAAGAGGATTTCTGTACCGCCTCCCTTGGGAGGAATGCTTAAGGAACCAAGACCAGAATGTCCAAGCTGCTAACGAAGTCAGCATTAGAGCCAGCTTGACTGTGTCAGGTGAACCCCGTAATCTGCTAATGATTCATTTGCTTTCTCCTGCAAGGAGTAAGTGTGTGCTCGCTCCTGTTACTTAAAAAGCCTCCAAGAACCTGAATTCCCTTAGAAAGGTTTTGAGCAACCTCCACTTGCATCGACATAGAAAATGCTGTGCCTTGGCTTTGAGACTTGACCTTTCTATAGTCCCCTGAGAATAAAAATGTTCATCACATGCTTCGTAGCGATCAAAAAACCAACTTAACTGCCACATAACTGCTCAGAAAACTAGAATGGGGTTAGCATAATAGATAAAGGATTTTCTCTTTTCTTTTTCTTTAATTTTAATTCAGTTTCAAGGTGAACTTGAATGCACTGGAAAATCTCTGCCACTATTTTAAAAAGATTTATTTTATTTTATGCATGTGTGTCTAATGTATGTTTGTGCCCCATGTCCATGCAGGTAGGTGCACATGAAGGACACCAGATTCCCTGGAACCGGAATTACAGGCAGTCGTGAATCGCCTGATGTGTGCTGGGACCCAAAGCAGGGTCCTCTCAAAGAGCGTAAAAGTACTCTTATTGCTAAGCCATTTCTCCAGCCTGCATTTTTTTTTCTTTCACAGTATGGGGGCTTCTGTAATGCCAGCCAAATGCTGTACCCCTTCTCTGCCATCTTTAATAAAGTATGTTGTATCTAGTTTAATTTCTCTTTCTTCTGGATCACTTGCTTGTCCTGTTCCATTCTATGGAATGAACTGTGGGAACCAGCAGTGAGGGGAACGGGCTAGGGATGTTCTGCGATTATCTACACAAAACCCCAAACTTTTAGTAATGCTTAGATTTTGTTCTTCTTCTCAGTTTATTCTTTGGTCAGTATATTACCTAGGTCTTCCTGCTGTCAATTTTGATTTTATTCTTCAATTAATATGCATCTTGCAACCCCCCCCCCAATCTGGGAAAGGAATCAGTTGACTGAACTGGTTAACACTGTCTAAATGGAGTCTGGACTGACCGTAAGTTATGCGGTTATCTTTGTGAGTTTCACACTTACGGCTTAAGAACACTGATATTTGTGAGGGTGACCTTCTGCCCTTTTTGAACATCCTCAATATTTAGATAGTTTCCTATAAGTGACCTATCAGCTCACAGTAGCAGACAACAACACTTTTCCCTCAAATGGCCTACTATTTAACATCTAATTCTAAGTGTACGAGTACACATTTGGGGTACCTTCTCGTTTCCCCTTTGTGTGTACCCCATCTTCCGCCTAACACTGCCCCACGCCTTCTCTGTCATGCTGACATCATAAGACTGGCTTTCAAATGCAATTCCTAAACTTTTCCACGACATATTCGGAAAGCAACATAGCTGATCTGAATGTCATGGTCACCACATTTAAAAAGAGTCACTAGGGCTTTGTGAAAACTTATAAAAGCATGGTAAAGATGCCGCGCTCGCCTCTGGGTACCTCCGTGAGCTGTGTGCTTGCAGCTGCACCGCTCCCGGTCTGTACTGTGAACGGGGCATGACATTTAAAATTAAAAGGACTCAACAGGGTTGGTGTAGCGAAGACTCAGTAGAATGCTTGCTGCTCTTGCAGAGGACCAGAACTTGAGTCCCAGCCCCATGACGGGCAGTTCACAACTACTCCGTTATATCTTGCTCACGTGCATTAGTACATTAGTGATGAGGCCAATGCCTGAGTCAGACAACTGCTATTCCTGTTTAGCTGTTGTCTATACAGCTGCACGGCAGTGTGAGCTCTGCCTCTGCTTTTCATTTTAACAAACGCCCGACAGAACGTCCGAACCTTGTGGACTGTCTCATACATTATGGAATGTTCAAGATCTCTAGCCTTGGACCATGTAACAGCAATAACATTTCCTATCATTATGAAACTGGAAAAGCCCCTTAAAGCTTTCAGAGGGTTCCCAAGGATAATGCTACCATCAAAATGTTGGGAGACAATTCCCCATGGAGCCTTTATGTCTTTTTTAAACACACACACACACACACACACACATTGTATAACAAAATGATATATGTGTATATATATATAAATGTTTATATATATAAATGCTATACACACACACATGTATATGCAAATATAGGCTCCATCTATCAAAGACTGTCACCCTCTGTCTGACTTATTTTACTTAATATAATCATTTCCAGTTCTATCTATTTTCCTACAAATATCATGATTTCATTTTTCTTTTAAAAATGTTTGTCATCACATTTATTTGTTTTGTAGGGAGTTGTGGGGGGTGTCAAAGGACAACTGGAGCGAGTTGATTCTCCTTTTACTCTCTGGCTGTGACCTTTTCATGAGGTCCTTTCCTTTTTATTGTCATTCTGTTCATTTGTTTATTTACTTTCAAGACAGGGTTGCTCTGTGTAGCCCTGGCTGTCCTGGAACTTTGTCTGTAGAACAAGCTGACCTCAAAGAGATCTCTGACCTCGAGATCTGCCTGTCTCCACTTCCTGAGTGATAGGATTAAAGGTGTGTACCACTACACTCAGTTAAAACTTTTTATTTTTCGAGACAAGATCTCACTATGTAGCCTTTGCTGGCTTAGAAGTCATATGTAGACCAGGCTGGCCTTGAACTCATAAAGATCTGCCTGCCTCTGTTGCCCAAGTGCTGTGTTCAAATGTAGGAGGAGGCCACTTATTTGTTTCCCGGATGCCCAGAAACCAAAATAATCACACAGAAACTATATTATTTAAATCACTGGTTGGCCCATTAGCTCTAGCTTCTCATTGGCTCACTCTTATATATTAATTTAACCCATTTCTATTACTCTGTGTATCGCCATGTGGCAGTGGCTTACCGGGTAAAATTCTGGCGTCTGTCTCCAGCAGGGCTCCATGGCTTCTCTCTGACTCTGCCCCCTTTCTCCTAGCATTCTGTTTAGTTTTCCTGGCCTACCTAAGTTCTGCCCTATCAACAGGCCAAGGTAATTTCTGTATTCATAGCATACAGAGGGAAATCCCACATCAAGGTGTGTATCACCATACTTGTCTGAAAAAAACTTTTTTAAAATTGTTCTAATCCACACTGATTGGCTTCAGCTTGGTCTTTTTTCAAGGATATTTAAAAGGCAAACAGCCTTGGGTTTGGAGATAGTAACCTCAGAGCCAAAGGAAGCATGCTGCTTGCTCTTGCAAAGGCTCCAGTCTTGCTAAGCTTGGAGTTCCTTCCTCTGTGCGGCCTCTTGTGTGGCTGGGTGTCTTCTGATGCTCTTCCCACTGAGAACTGAGGCTGGGAAGAGGGGCAGAAAGCACGGTCGTCTGGTTTCTGCTATTGACATAAAGTAAGGTCGCAGTTTGTAAACCAGGAGCCTCTTGCTGCCTACAACCACACCCAAGACCGCAGGGCTAATTTTCAATTTACAGACAGTTGCCTTATTCTTTTACAGTTCCTGACAACTGCCCCTTTGAACATCTGCAGAGCCAACTGTGGTGGCTCACACCTGCAATTCCAGCACCCAAGAGGCACAAACTGGCAGGCCAATGCGAGGTGGAGGCCAGATGGCCTATATGTCAAGACCATGCTCAAAAAGTCAAAACCCAATAAACAAACGAACAAACAAAAAGGACTCATCAGAAGTAGAGTTAACTCCCCGAAGTCTAGCTTAGTATATCTGTTCCCACATTCCAGGCATTTATAGCAGATTGCCATCAAAACCTAAATGTCAGTCTTATCTCAGGTGAACTGGTCCATTTGCTAACCCCCCAAATCTTATCATTCTATCTTTGCCCATTTCAACTAAATGCAGGTTCATCTCTCCAATTTTTTGCCCCAAAGGCTTTGTCAATTTCCCTTATGTGCTCTGTCTCCCATACCAAACATCCAATTCATCTCCACGTCCTCTGTACGCTGCCCTCAAAACTACCCAGAATTTGAGCACTTCTTTTCCTTGTTTCCCTCATCTTGGTTCTTGCCACCCCCAGTCCCCTTCTAGATAATTGCCAACCGTCCCTAACTGGTATCTCTGTTTCCTCCCTGGATCACTTTAAAAACACTAAATATAATTTTTAGACATAATTATTTTTTATCTTGTGTGTATGGGTGTTCTGTCTGCATGTGTGTCTGTGCACCACCTGCATGCCTGGTGGCCGCAGAGGCCAAAAGAGGGCCTCTGGTTGCTTACATTTTGTTGCCAACACCCTCCAACCTTGCCTATCACACTATTGATCATTTGATCTTTCCAGTAAAGACTGGCCTGGCCCCACCTAACTTATGAGGAAACCAAAGATAAGCAATTTGCCTGAGCAAATTTTCCTATAAAAATGTCAGTAAGGGTCTGGGGAAATTGCCCAGTGCGTAAGAGCACTTGCTGTCTAAGTGAGTGAAATTGAGTTCAAACCCTGGACCCCATTAAAAAACTCAGCATGGCTGCCCGAGTGCCTGCAACCCCAAGGCTATGGCGGTGGTGGCAGAGGAGACAGAAGGATTTGGGGCCTTGCTGGCTGCCGTCCAACTTGAGGATCACTGAGAGACCCTCGGGGATCTCTCTTGAGGTTCAGTGAGAGACCCTGTCTCAAAGGAATTAAAGAGAATGGTGGATTCAGAGAGAGAATATCCTTCTCTGACCTTTGTACATGCAAACATATGCACACATATACCATACATACTCATATCTACACCAAAAGTATTTTAAAACCACACATAAATCAAGGTATGGTGGTGCACACTTATAATCTCAGCATTTGAAAGTAGGAAAATGGTGAGCTTGTAGACAACTTGATCCAAAGAGCAAGACCCTGACTCAAAGCACACACACACACACACACACACACACACACACACACACACACACCCAACACTAAGAAGCAAAGCTAGAAGAATCAGGGATGGTACCACTCCCCGTGCACAGAGCATCCTCTGGACTCCTGAGGCAGTGCTCATATCGTGTACTTTGCCTGGCACGCTGGTTCAGATTCTGCACTCTTAAGAGGTAGTTCCCATCTGACTTCCTGCATAGAACTTTCCCAGTCCCCCTAAGTGGGTGCAATCGTGCATTCCTCTACCAAATGGGAGATCGAATCTCATTTACGGCACGTCACAGCCCCCTCTTTTGGGGGAACTATATGTTAATGTGCACATCCCACTGTCTCTCCTGAGCATGGGATTCTTGAGAACTGAAACGGTGTCTTCTTCATCAGGCATTATGTAGTAGGGGCATTAGATGAAGTTTCTTGCTTGAAGCAGATGTCTGGCTCTTGTTTATTGAATGTGGCACAGAGAGGCATTGCAAAAGGTGGAATCTAGTATTCTGGTACTACAGCCCCTTGCTTTCAGCTTCGATGGACGAGATCTGAGGGTTTGCTGTCATCAAAAGCAAACGCTGGTCAACTGCCAGAGGGCATCTACCCCATCCTGGCTTCTGCTTCAAAGGTCCCCCAAGTCCCAGCCGCGGTCCTCTTGATCTTTCTTTGTTTGCTCATTAAAGTTAATTTGGGACATGAAAAGATCCAGGACTGAATATTTCATTAAGGCCAGTTCTTCCTAACTCAGTCACTGCAGACAAAACAGGTAAAAATGGGGCAAAAGTTGCAAAGCAACTTTTTAAAGCTAGTCACTTTAGCAAGCACCTGGTAAGCCCAGGCCCTCTGTTCAAAGACTGCATCTTCGGGGATGCTAAGGACACTGAAAGGCCTGCTTGTGTCTTCACAGAGATACTATTGGTTTTCAAGGGGCCCCACAGCTGTTCTTCTTGGGGAACCTCTGTAAAAATGGTCTTGTCCAGCATCCTGGGC